ATAATGACTGTGCTGAAATCAACATTTTAATAATGTGTTTCTGCTTGCATCTTACCTTTAGGGAAAATTGATCAATTCATGAGATTGACAACTGGGATTCTTGAAAAGCATTGGCACGGAAGTCCAAAATTATAGTCTCTATGTCTGTGCCTGGTTCTAGTTCTAGATTCTCAGCCCTGGTCACACATTAGTGTCACCTAGGGTGCCTTCAAAAAGTTAAAACTGCTTATGTTTGGGTCTTATCCCAGGTTAATTAAATCAAAATTGGTTGGGGTCTCAGCATTAGCATTTCAAACATTCTTTCCAGACAATTTATAGATGCAAGGGAGGTTGAGAAGCATGTCTATCATGCTGGTTTAATTGATCTCTTGTCTGTGTTGCTGAGAAGAATACTGTATGTCCATATGGTCTAAAAGTGTATGTATACTACAAATGTTACCTAGCTTTAAAGGCTCAAATTAAACATTTCTATATGATTATATATATTTACTTGAAGCACACTAAAAATTTATAAAGTGAAAAATTTATAAAGTCTTTACATAAATGGATGTTGAGAAGAACACCCTGCTTTGTCACGGCTTTCACTTAGAGACCAGCTTTGCTTTTGTGCGGTGGATATAGAGGAACCCCAGGCTCTTCCTTAGCAATATTCCACAGCTGTCCTCCTTTTATTGTGACACAGTCGAATTGCTATTCCTCTTCAGTCTCTCTCTGAATGCTCTCTGCCCTGACCTCAGTTTTGCTCTTTTTTATTTAAATGAATTATCTTTACAAAAATCTAACATACCTTCTTTCTACTCTCCCAGGCATGGATGGTCATCATAGAGAAGATGAATGATCCTTAGTGTGCTCTGGGGTGAAAGCCTTTTGCAAGTACCAAGACTGATAAGGCTGCCTGCTTATCTTCTCACTGGCAAAGAGCCAGCTATTTACTGAGCAAAATGATAAATATTCCAAGAGTAAGCTCTGAAGTCACCAAGCCTCACAGTTCTCTTGGCAGAGCTTCCATGTTATATAAACTGATAGAATCACTAGATGAAAATCTTACCCAGCAAAAGAGCTAGTGGGTAATCATTTTAGGTTTTAGAGTCTCTGCTGGAATGTTACTAATTTTGCAAATTTCTAGTAATCTTAGCACTACTTTCAGAGAAGACAGCACAATGTTCATGTTTACTTTTTGCACATAGTATCCCTTCTACGCTCTTATTTACTCATTCATTATTGTTTTTGTTCTGAAACACAAAAATTAATCTCTTTTTCCCCTTAGAATTCAGAATTTTAAGAGGTTAAGATTTGCTTGTAATTGGAACATTCCCCTTTGAAGTTCAAATCCTTCTTAGCTCTAATTCGAGAGGGAGTTATGATTCTATGATGGACTCATGACATTTCTTATTGGGGATATAAAAGGTCAGATTTTAATGCCTTTTTGTGATATATGCATCTGGCTCAAGATCAGGCAGTTTTGAATGATGGAATTTAAATTGTAATTTAGCGAAGGAGTAAGAAATGAGAAATTACAGCTTGCCTGAGCTGTCCACCAATTCCTTTGTGCCTGTGTGAGAGTTTGTGGGTTACTGTTGCTACATAAAGTGCCCTTATAACAGGCTCGATGATGGTGCTCCAGAAGGGAATCAGAAGCTTGTTTTGGTGGATGTTCTGGTGGTTACCTGACATTTTGTCTTGAATAAACCAGATCAATCCCTGCCTTTTGATCATCTTGAAAGTTCTGATTGCTGTTTATTTCCTTCCATTTTGCCCAACTGCCTTGTATTCTTACTTTGCTCTTCCTTTTTCTGAACAAGAATTCTTGAGTACACAAAGATTCCTATCCACTTCTTTTCTTGTTTTGGGTCAGTGGTATGGTATGTCACTTCATGAACTCTTCTGTTCAAGAACAGTTTGGCCTGCAAACAGAAGTGTTCACAAAATTTTGTTTTGGTTTGCAATGTCATCAGGAGACCCTGAACCTTATGGGGAAATTTGATTTGGTTCATGACCAATTCAGCTCATGACCAGAATTGTGGAAAGAATTAAGTTCGTGAACCAGCATATCACCATATATGATATAAAATCAATGGAGACCACGTATACAGGGTGAAAGTTCTGTCTTTCAAATATGAAAAAACACTTTTTCTTGTTTTCACATGACTCAAATAATTGATCCATCTGACAGGTAAGAGTTAGTCATACATCTATTAAAAACAATAGAATGTAGAAAAAGTATTGGGGTTTGATTTACATCTTCAATCCTTACTAGTACTTATGCGCTGTTTGAATGTCACTTTCCTTGTCTGTAATTACATTATAGCTGGTTCCAGTGGTCCAGGATGAGAGCCACCGGCATTTACTGGGACCCGTGCCAACCTGGGACCTAGAGTTCCGAGAAACCAAGCAATCTCCCACCCCCACCCCACCGTGAGTGGCTGTGAGCATGGTAGGCTGTGGTGGCCCAGGATGGGAGCCACTGGTGTTTACTGGGACCCGCACCATACTGGGATCTGGAGCTCTGGGAAACCAAGCAACCCCGCCACCTCTGCCTGTTCTGTTTTGTTTAACTTCAATATACATGAAAGTATGGTCAGCTATTTTGAAGAGAATGAGAGACTCTACAACAGCCATTAGTGATTTCCCTATTGTCTGGTTTTGAAGACCTAAAACACCTTCCTCATTCTGTTTAGATCAGTTTTATGTTGTTTTGTATGAATTCTCTTTATGAGAAGACATGGACAACTATTTGGAAGAAAACAAGAGACAGTATGATAGACAGTGCAGATCTCAGGTTGTCTAGCTTTGAAATTTATATCTCTTACATTGCTTTCTTATGTCCTATTTTGTTCTGTCTTGTTGTGTTTAATTTTACCCCTTTAAAATGAAAAAATTACACTAGCTACAGCTTTTCTAGGCTGAGAAAATGCTTTGGTAATAAATTGTTTTGAGGCTACAGTAAAACAACAGTATCTTTCAAATTTTCAATTATCTCATGTTTGGGACATGCTAATTTACTGCCAGAAGTACCTGATAATCCTCTTATAGCAAGAATTCCTTTCTTATGTGGTTTTAAGTTCTGCCTGAGGACTCATTCTTGATAGCATTATCTTTTTGATCTGTGTGAGTCATGTCTGCACTGGTTTGTGGGAGGTTTTATATTTGCAGTGGCTGGGTGTCCCCAAGGTTTCACTTATTCAGAGTGAATTTTCACAGTGATTTTTCCATTTAGGATTCCAATACCATGCAGACAGTATTCATTTGGAGTTCATAGTTAGATTTGGTACAACTAGGGCTTGAGGACCTACTATAGCTGAGACTTTCTTCCTGAGCTCTCTTGAGAGGTTTTCCTGTTCTCTTTAAACAAATAAGGCAGAGTTTGTGTAGGAGTGCAAGCTCTAGCATTTATATGGGGTTAACCTCTGATTTTCTGATGGGATTTCATGATTCTGCTTCCTTGCTGGGAGGGCCTGCATCTGTTTGATGTCCCCTTGGGATTCTGCTGCATTAACCCATATCCTTTGTGGTTGTTTACTACCTGAAAATTTCCCTTTACATCACTTGAGTTTGGATATTTTAAAAACTTACTGTAGTTTATCTAATTTCTCCTTGTTAAGGGGATTTTAGTGCAGTTCACACTGTTGCTGGAACTAAAAATCAAGTGTATATTTTTTACAACCATTTTTCCTTAGTTAACCATTTTATTTCATAAAGTCACCCCTAGTCGCTGACTGAACAACTTCTCTGTGTGTGTGAATCCCTTGAGGATCTTGTTCCTGTAGGACCCGCAATTCTGGATTTTGAACACTTTCCAGGGTGAGGCCTTTAGGGCTCACGCCTTCCCTCTGTGAGTGGTGAGGGACTGAGTGAAGCCAGCAATTGCCTCTGTTCAATTGCTGGGATTCCTCTGGTGTAGCTGCCTGATGAATTCTCCACTCTAGTTGTTCTTACAAATGGCATTTTACATTTTTCAAAATGGCTTCACTATAAAGAGATATAAAGTAATTCTTTTTTTGAAAAAAATCTGTAACTTCAAAGTGGAATAAAATATAATTGGGCTTTAAAAAAATCTGGAATATTTCATTGGCTTTAACAAAAAGTCCCTTGTACCTCATTTTTCCTTTGTTAAGTCTATTTTTCCTCAAGCTGAAATTCTGGGCAAATCAATAAGAGTATTAACTTTCTAACTTAGTTTAATTTTCCTTGCTTAATTATTTATTATTAATATTAATACTGATTTCTTTCTTGTTATTGTTCGTCAAGGTCTTTTAACTTGGAGACTTATTCAGTATGATTAACACTGATCCTAGAGAACAGAGTATTTGACTTCCAAAACATTGGGGCAGGTGAATCTTCAGAATGTAAAAGATTATAAGACCAAAGATTCCATTGCATTTTCCAAACTTTCTCCATGTAACCCAAAATGTACAAAAGCAAATCAAGTGTTGATTGGCATCTAGGCTGGTCTAACTTTGGCTAGCTATATCTTAATTTCTTGGACTAAAATGTCACCAATTTGCATAGCCCCAATTTGCATAATCAGTCAAACCATATTCCTCCTGACAAAAAACTAGACAAAGGAAGGCAATAGCTGTTCCTAGGAGGGAAAAGATCAGCAACTAACATCTATTAGTTAAGCAATAATCCAAACAAATGATTTTCTTCTGTTAATTTCAGTTTGGAAAGGGGCAGCAGGGACAGGTTTTCCTCTTCATTTTCTGATAAGATACTTTACACAGAAGTCAAGTAGAACAGATCTGGGCCAGAATACTTATCTTATGCCAGCTTTTTGTTTGTTGTCCTGGGATCTCATTTGCAGCCCCTCAAGTGGAGCACCTCAGCTGTTCCTTGTAGGTGCCAGACACAGTAGGGGATGAAAAATGTGTTTATCCTCACTGTAATAAAAGTAAATCATACAAACTTATTTCACGTAAGTTGCATGTGACGTAGGATCCTTTAGAAATTAAAATCTAAAAGAAAGAAGGAAACATGTATTTTATACTAAGTTTGAAGGACAGTTCTGGAGAGCAAATTGGACAAATGAGGAGTGATCTAATGGTATAAACCTGGGTATGATGAGAAGACTGTTTTTCAATTGTTGTGTGTTCCTGTGCCTTCAGAGACAAGGATATTTCTTTCCTCTGGGTGTGAGGTAAGTACCTCTCACCTACTCTGACCTACTTCAAGAGAGGGCTAGAGAATTCTTTTCTAGGCTTTGTGACCTATAAAGGAGCACAGGAAGAAGGGCAGGCTAAAGTTAGGGTGGCTTCCTGCTTCCAGGCTTTCTCAGATGCTATGGTGTTTTATTTTGGGAGTAATGTGTCCTGAACACTGTCATGACTGAACTGGTATGATCCTTAGAATCAGCTGGGGCATAGAGTGAGAGGGAAGACATGTTGGCTTCATCTTATGGGCTTTTAGAGAGCGAGGGTGTCCTCACACCTATGAGCCTGGTGTGAGAGTGGTGCAGTAGAAAAGACGGTTGTGGGCTGAATCATGGCCCACTTAAAAGTTATTTCTGGGACCATGCACTTGGGACCCCTTCTGTCTCTCAGACAGACACTTTCTTTCTTTTAATACGTATATTCTGCTCTTAACCTCCAGTGTTCCTAAAATTCATTCTTCGATTTTAGAAAACACAAACTTGTACCAGGCATATCGTAGGTTGGGAGTTCCATTCCCCTATGTCATTTGGAGGTCTTCCACTGAGATGATTGGATGAAGGTAAGCGTTTGCTTTGTTTCATAGACTCTGGGCTCGGACTTGTTCAGGTAATAAATTTCTATGCTTCAAATTTTGTTATGTCTTTACCCATTGCTTATAATTGCTTATCTGTAATATCTATAATAGTTTTGTTAAAATGATGATATATCTAAGTTAAAACATGGAACAGTTATAAGGATTTGTTTATGTACATGTTGCACTTAAACTAGTTACCAAATTTACTGGTACTCCTTGCTTGACTCTATTTAGACAATAGCACTAGAGAGAGGAACATTAGAAAGCCCCTGGGGAACTTTAATATCAACTTCTGTAAAATGGGTCTTTTTAAATAAAATCTAGCTCAGACTTTGAAAGTATACATGCCTATAGTAAAACTGGGTCTCCTTTCACTGTTCAAACAGCACTATGCTGGTGGCTTGCCTTTAAGACTTGGAAGACAGGTTTCACTGGCATAGACTGGCTCTGATCCTCCTCTGTACTCTGGAGGAAATGTCAAGCCTGTTCTGCTTCAGTTTCCTTTCTTTGGCTTTACTTCCAATCTTTTCCCCCACTTTGTACTTTCCTTTTTAAAGGCATGTGAAATTAGAAAAGACTAGATAGTTCCAATTCTTTTTCTTCTCTAAGTTAAATCTACAGAAAATCAGCATTTGCTAATGCTGAAGGCAGGGAAGTTACCTTAGATGAGGGAGATATACCCCATCTCTGAGTCAGATGAGACATTGGAATTTTGCCCATCCAGGAGAATACACATAAAGGACATGATCCAGCTTAGTGTTCTGGGGAAGTCTCCACTGGAGACTGACTCTGAGACGCAGTGAAAAAACCAAACCAGAAGGAGCTATTTCCAAAAGCAGCACACTTGGGACCAAAACACATTAAACTAAGACAGTCCTTCCAACCTTTCATTTATATGTATAAGAAAATGCTTCAATAATAAGTTGTGGATTTTAAAACTTTTAATGTAAATTTATGAAGCACAGGTTAATGATCTTGTTCAGGTTTTTAATATCCCTTATAGAACACAGACAGTGGTTACTCTGCCAGCTAATTAATTGCTCCTACAGAAGCTGCTACTCTTAAAGCAGAGGACAGGTATCTCCAGGATCTCTTTGGTGAATACCCATTGAAGCCAATGGCCAGTGGAATGTTGACCAGACAGCTGGATTCCTTTTTGGAGACTGCTCTCAGGTTATCTGGGCCATTGGAAACTCAGAATGACTGAGGGCTCGTGGCCAGGGTGCCTCTCTAGGGGACACCCAAAGAATCCTCAATAGAAATTGGCTCAAGGTTACAAAAAAAAAAAAAAAAAATCTCCACTTCTCTCTACTAGTAAACTGCTAAAAGATGTTCCTCAAACTTTCCAGGCAATTCAGCTACCTCTTCTCTCAGAAATTAGGCTGAGGCAACCTGCAACAACTGTTTACATTCCAAAGAAACTAGTAGGGGATGATTTGCACTTGTGCCTTATATATATGTTAATGAAGAGAAAAGAGAGAAAAAGGGATTTTAGTTACCCTTTTCTGTATGCAAAAAAGACTGATTTACCTTTACTAACAAGTAAAATGTGGTTAATAGATGATAAATATGTTTAACCTGCGAGCTTCAAATAACACATAGCCATGTCCCATTGCTAGGAAAGATTGCCTAGGTAATTAGAGAACACAAATGCCTTGGAGACTTTGCCCAAGGACCCAGGGTGTAGTTCCTCAAGTTTATCTGTTTCTGGAGAGAATCTCCGTCAAAGAACAGCCAGAGAAATGCCTTTTTTTTTCGTACAGGGGATTGAACCCATGACCTCGCATTTGCCAAGCGAGCACTTATGGCACTGAGCTAAACCCCCAGCCCTCTAAATCACCTCTTAACAATAAACAAAAATCAATAATATATGATAAAGTTATGCTTCCTTCTTTAAACATTTCTGTCACAATTAGGCATTTGGAAACAAAGTTCATGAGTTACCTGGGAAGATAAGATTGCACACCAGTTTTAGGGTGGATAGGCTGGCCAAATTTTTCCTCTAATCTCTCCACCCACTTGCCCTGGAGTGGAATCAACCTGAGGAATGTCTTGAGGACATTATCAAATAGAAATAAGAAAGGGATGCCCAATTATTTCTTTTTGCATAGATAGGTGGCTCAATGTCAAAGTCTCATACCCCTTGCTTTTTATGTTACAGACATGGGCAACTCAATGCCAAAGCCCCTTACTCCCTTGGAATGCATTCCTAAGCACTGGAAGATGTTCGACCCTTCCACGTTGAAAAAGAGCTATGTGATATTTCTCTGCATGTGTGTATGGCCTTCCTACCCCCTAGAACCAAAATGGAATGCAAAGGGAAGGATTAATTATGATGTTCTTTTACAACTAAAATCATACTGTAAGAAAAAGGAAAAATGGTCAGAATTGCTTTATGTTCAAGCTTTTTTTTACATTAAAAATAATTCTTATTATGCTTAAGGTGTAATTATAATCCTTATGAGACTATCTCCATTCATAGGTCTCTTTTTTTCAATGACTTAAAGAAAAGCTAAAACTAGGAAATTTTTCAGATGACTCTGCTAAGAATGACAAAAACCAAGCCTTTTAGTTATTTTAAATTGTCAGCTATTTTTCAAATATAATTAAAGATCTGGAGATGAAAGCATATTGGACTAGGGTGGGCCCTAAACCCAATGACACATGTCCCAAGAGGAGAAAAGAGGGGAAGGTATAAAAGGAAGCCCCAGAAAGCTACTCCTGAGGGTACAGCAGCAGCACTGATACTTACTGCTTGTTCTAAACAAATCATACATTCATTATTTTAGCCCTCATGATCATTTTATAAAGTAGGCACTATCATTGTTCTTGTTTTACAGATTAAAAAATACAGGTTCAGATAGGTTAAATAGCTGATCCAAGATCACACAGAGAAATTGGGATTTAAATGCAGAATCTACTCTTTTTCCACCTCCCGAAATCTGAGTTCCCCTTGTCAGGATCATGAAGGCAGTGGAGCCTGGTAAGTGGGTTTTATCTTTTTTACTGACTCGTGGGACCTGCCCCTTTTTTCTACTATAGCTGTGAGTGCCAAGAATCTTCAGGCTTTGGGGACAGGACCTTTTGAAAATCTAATAGGGTAGTTGACGTATGTCTGACGTATGAGTCACCGTCTTAAAGTGGATCATTTTACAGGCAATTCCAACTAGAAAGCTTACTCCTCCAGTTGCAGAGGTTAAGGGAGGTGAAAAGTATCCCTCCCTTTGAGAATGCTGCACCGCCCAGCAGGGACTCTTGGGTCAAACTGCGTGGTTCAGTTTGGCCCTCTTTCAGGAAGGCTGTGCTAGGAGGAGAAATTGGAAAATGTGGAAATGCAATTCAGCTCTTGAAGGGACAAATCCTGGGAAATCACTTAAAACCCTAACTAGCAATAAGGAAAACTATCTAAAATGTTTTAAAAAGCAAACTATATATTCCTCCTAGCAGCCCTTCCTGGCCTGGGACACCTGTGGGAGGGAGCAAGTTTCCAGGGTCTCATCCAACAGACAAAGTCTCCAGACAGCGAAGCCCCCCCCCCCCCAGAGGATGGCATCCCTTCTGCCTTCATGGAAACATTACTTGGGGCCCACCCCAGGCCAATCATTTTAACTCTATCATTGCCTTGTTGTGAGGGTAGAATAAAAAATGGACTTTCCCAACCTTATGATAAAATGATTTATTGAGAATCTCCTGTCAAATTTTGTGAAAACTGATTTTTCAAAGGTGATACTTGGCCTCCTTGGATTACATTTGAGGTACAAGGCCCATTGCTGAAGGACATTTGACCTCAAGATCTCCACACTCCATCAGAACTCAACTGTGTCTTGAGAACTTTATATTGGATCATTCTTGGAAGGAATGGAACTTCCACAAAAATAAGAAATACTTGTAAACCACTTTAGAATTTAATAATTGCAAATATCTACATTAACTTTCACAATAACTCCGCGATGAATTACTTCAGTGCAACAGACTTAAAATAAAAACCTTACTTGGAAAGAAAAACTCATCTGACTAATTTGCTTCACTTGAAATATAATTCAGTGAGATTGTGTGTGTAAAGGCATAAGAATGTAGCCTGGCATATAATAGACCCAATGAATGAAGCCACCTGTCATCACCCTCTTCCTTCTTATTGTTGTTGTAAATTACCATCTGATGGAGTTGGCATTGCAGTCCAGATTGTTGACTCCATGTTTCCAACACAAATCCTTTGCAAGATAGGGGATGCATGGCTTACTTTATCTTTTTTCCTCTGGGAATATTTTTTTCTTTTCTGTTTTTAAGTTAATTCACATGGGTTATGAGAACAACCTGGATGCAACATGTCCATGTCACCCCATAGACCACCAGGTTGTTTGGCATGATCTCGTTGGACTACACCTACACCTATATAAATTGCTATAAGTACAAAATGGGAGAGTCTTTCAGGCCGAGGACTGTGATAAAGTGGTGTCAACATGAGATTACAGAAGGGAGAGCATTTGAGAAGTTTGTAGAGCAAAGATGTTTTTGAATCTGCCACGGGAATACCTTTTAACCCTTCAAAGGCAAAATTTATACATCCTTACTCTGTTTGGAAGGCTGTATTGTAGAGGACAGATGTTGGAGGGGATTGGGTGAGATCTACAGTTTCCTGGAGATTGACCAAATTCCAATCAGACTTTGTGGAAGCTGGTGTGGAGTCTTCACTTCTGGCCTTCTGAGTATTCCCTTCAATACAGGATTTTTGTTTCCTTAGCTGTTGAGGGAAAGGAAAATAATTCTCATTCCCTTAGGTCTTGAGCAGACAGCTCTGTCTATCCTACAGATATTTATGAAGTGTGAGGTATAGCAGTTGCAGAGATAATAGCTAGTTAGACCAATATATTCAGAGTGATGCAAATGGTAACTGATGATGGATTCTACCTGTCTGCAGGAAAGGTACCATCTGCAGAGGTTTAAGAATGCCTGAGTAAGGAGAAAAGACATAAACTGCATTCATCCTGCTTAGAGATAGAAGCCAAAACATTTCTGAGACGGTGTTGGAGCAGCTCCCCTCTTCTAGTTAGATGGAAGTGGTCTTCAGTTTGACTTAGGTGATCTCATATTTAATAACCTACAAATGGAACAGAGTCAACTAAAATGGTTGACTCTTCACCCTTAATTAACCAGTAAATATCTGAAAGGCTATGAGTAGAACAATGAACTCTAGACACTGCTTCCATGTTGCAGAGATTGAGTTTCATGGATAAAAGTCCTTCAGCATATAGAAGATAGGAGGATGGACCTGATTTTAGGGGCAAATTGGGCAGGTTCCATTAGTTCTGAATCAGTAATCTCCAAATACATAAAACAAAAGTGTGATTTTAAAGACCGTCTATTGTCTTTAGTGGTTCCTTAATTCCCAGTTCTGAATTCACTCAACAGACCTCTTATTATATTTTCTCATAACAGGTAAAACTTTGACTATGAAATGAAAGAACAAGAGACACTGTGACTCTGAAATTGGTGATGACTTGTGATGACTCAGAGTCTCCAAACATTTTTTGTTTTTTGGTTGTTGTTGTTCTTCTTTGTTTGTTTTAGTTTCTTGAGAAAATGTCTCACTAGGCTGGCCTCAAACTTGTGATCCTCCTACCTCAGTTTCCCATGTGCTGGGACCACAGGTGTGCACTACTGTGCCTGGCTTGTTTTTTACAGTGTGCTAAAATGCAATATGTTGGGCTGTTTATAGCCACAAAATAAACTATGACTCTGTTATCTGAGCTGATTAGCTTACTTTGTTCAGTAGGCAGATTTTACTGAGTTTAATTTGTGTGTCACGCACCATGGTCCTTGGCTTCAGCAGTATGAGGTGAGTTGTGGATTGCCTCAGATCTTCAAGTGCTGATTATTTCAAGAAGACTAAAACTTGTTTCTGTCCTCAGTGGCCACTTCGTATGTGTGTGCCAGGTTACAAGAGCACCTTGTGAGCATAAAGATGGCTTAACTGAAAATGGAGAAGGAGGAGGGGTAGAATGGAATCGGATGTCAGGAATCCTGGGTGTGTGACACCCAGGTGTATGACATTGAAGTTGTCTTCTTCATCATTCAGATTCCTTACCTCTAAATGAAGGATTCAGCTGAGATGGCTTCTGAGGTTCTTTAAGCTCCAAAAAATTGTAAATGTATTCCTCTTCCTAGAGAAGAGGTTAAAACACATGTTCTCAGAATGGCAGATCAGCTGCACTGAGGAGAAACACTTATGTCACCTTGCCTGAGCTCCGTGGGAGGGATGGTCCAGGGCCTTGAATTATTCTACTAAGGCAATGCTCTTAAATCTGCAGTTTGTGACTTCAGTTCTGAGATATTTTATTATCCCAACCAGTATAAATGCTCCTTAAAAATTAGAGATTTCCATTAGTTAGTAAGGGATTGAATTCATATTCTACTAGGAAATTAGCAATGTTTGCTGTAAGTAAATTAATAGGATTTTTATCTCAGGATATGAGTTGACAATCTATGTGTGAGTTTTAGCAGTAGGTATTTATCTAGGAAGAGAGAACATTTCATTCAAGTTTACATTAGAATTCAGTGCTCATTCCTAGTTTCTGTATGCCCCAATATAATAAAAATGGGCCATTATTTATATTTATACATATATGGAAATTTATATTTTCTGCAAACAGATGAGATATTTTAAGATAACATTCCAAGTGGTGGTGAGGATAGTACAGGGGTGATTGTCAGAGCGAACAGAATTGTCTTGTTCTTTGTGTCTGATGTGCTTTGCAGATGTGACCTATTGGTTTTGACATCTGATGTTCATGTTGGGTTTGATTTATAGAGTGGCTAATTCTGAGAATGGGGAAATCAGGACGGAAATTTTGGAGTATCAATCACAGTGTTCATCTGTTTTCTTGTCTGGCAGAGCTATAATTTGTGGGCTTTACATGCAAATTAGACATTTTCTTCTTCAACAAGGAAACTATGAGAAGTATGTTTTGTGTGTATAAACAGGACCCACATCTGCTTTAAAGGAAAATGATAAAGAGTTTTAAGTTTATCTTTTTAAAATAGGGACAGGCTTTGTCCTTATTTATACCCAGCTCTCAACAACTTTGTTCAGGGTAAAGACTTGTCTCATTATTAGGAGTATATTCAAATCCAACTGACACGATTTAGATCTCGGTTTGGTGTTTTGTATTCTTTGTCTCAGGCTTGTGATTGCTTGAGTTCCAGGGGAGATGTGAGTGAATAAGGGTTGGGTACTGACAGGAAAGGATGCAGAAGAGATGGACTTAAGTGCTACCCTGCTCCTCTTGTGATCCCCAGTCAAACATCAGTTTAGACATGATGTGACTATTCAGCGAAGTCCCCTCAAGGAGATACTTCTAGGAAAAAGGCCTTGAGAGCAGGTCTTATAAATTCTGGAGCTCTGGGACTCAGTTCTCAGATAGTCCCCTTCTTTACCCATTATTCTGCCTGACTCTCACTATAATGAAATGAATCACTTAAGATTTATGTCATTCTAATACTCATTTCTAGTGCCTTCAGCTCAAGAAGAAAAACAATGATGTCCACTTTTATATAATGCTATGCAATTTTTTTTACCTGGTTTTCTGTCTTAAATTGTTACTTTCTAGATCACTTGGGAAGGTGGGAAGACATCCTGATGAATGGAAAGAGGCATAATGCTGCTTGGGATAGAATCTTTCCTTATTATGTGGCCTTAAGCAATTTACTGAATCTTAATAACTCTTCTTACTTTATCTGTAAAATGAGGTTAAAGTAACACTTGCCTACTTCAGAGGATATTGTAAGTTACTGTGCATTGGGCCTAGAAACATCAGTTCTTACTTATGACCTATTAAGGGTTGGTTTTTCTTTTTTTTTTTTCAATGGGGATGTGGAGTGAGGAGAGGTCCATGGTTCAAGCTCTTCTGTAGGCAGCTCTTCTAGAGGCTCTTTCCCTCTTTTACCTGTCATTTAAACTCATTTCCATGTATCTTCTTGTTGCCTAGTCAAGGGCCTTTTTCTAGAGATTGCCAAGGACATCTGTTGGCCTAGCCATTAGCTGGCTGGAGAAATCAGTCTGTGGAAAGTTGCAGTCTCCAGTGTGTCATTGCTAGGTATGAAATAGTAGTAACAGTTAAATTGATCAGAATGGGACCAACCCAGGATGTCTGGTCACCAGGAGTATTCTCTCTCCATATCTTTAAACTTAAGTGGTACAGATCACCCTGAGGTTTTTTGTTTGTTTTTTAAGGAAAATGTTCTGAATTTCTACAGCTTGGTGTTTTATCCATATATATAAAAATTGCACATGTGTGACAGCAGGTAGTGAGTGGTTAAGCTCTCAGGCTTTGATCCAGCTATCTTGGTTCAAATTTTGACACTGTTACTTAGGCTTGGTAACTTTTTGCAATCAACATAACCTCTCTGAACTTGAGTTCCCTCATCTGTAATTGTAGCTATTAAAGAGGATAAAATGACATCATTTGTGTAAAGTTTGTATTAAATAGTTTGACATGGTGCTTGGCATCTGGGAAAATTTCACTAATATTAGATATTATTGCTTAATGTGGATGATCCACAAAACCAGAGATTGGCAAACTATGGTCTATGGGTCAGACTCAGTCATTGCTTTGTTTTAGTAAATAGTTTTATTGGGACACAGCCACAACTATTTGTTTATAAGTCTATGCTATCTGTTGTGCTATTGCATCAGAGTTGAGTAGTGGGAACAGAGAATATATAGCCTATGAAACCTAGAATATTGACTATTTGGCCCTTTTCTGAAAAGTCAATGATTTCCTAAGCTAGACTATTGGCTCAGCTGAGTGCTGATTTCCCTTCTGCGACCAACTGGCTGCCTAATCTTTGATACACTACTCAATTGCTTTGTTTTCCTCACATTTGGCACATGCTAGTTCTTAAAAATGAAATGATACACGGTTACCATCACTGAGTAAGACAGTCATAGATCGCATACTGTATCCTCAGGCCTGGGAGATCTTATGCCTTTCAT